CTCAAAAATAGTAAAAAAAAAAAAATGCTGGTGCTACTGGTGCTGGTGAAGAGACACCTACTGCTGGGGCTAATGCAGATGATGGTGATGGTTTAGGGGTTGAATCAGATGATGGTGATGGTGTTGGGGCTGATGCAAATGATGGTGTTGGTGCCGGGGCTGATGCAAATCATGGTGTTGGTGCTGGGGCTGATGCACATGATGGTGAAGAGACACCTATTGCTGGTGTAAGGAGTACCTTTTCACATGATGAAGGACAATCCCAAATACCTGGTGCTGGCCATGAAGATGTTCATCTTGCATCTGGAGTGGCAGAACAACTATTTGGAGAATCGGATGATTCTGAAGATTCAGAGTATGAGCCACAAGAAGACAGTGGTGAATCCTCAGATTTATCTGAGTGGGAATTGGAGGATCTTGAAGGCCCTGATGATGATGATATATTCCAAGAGAGGGCACATGATCATGCTAAGAAGGTACACAAGAGGGCAAGAGAATGACTGAAACAAAGAAGAAAGCAGAAAAAAAAAGCAAGAAAAGAAGCTGAAGGTTTAAGAACACATACAGAGGAAGGTTGGTTTATGCTTTGTGCATTTTTTTTATTTTTTTATTTTTTTTTTGTTCCTGACTTAATATTTATCTGTTTTGACCCTGAATTCATGTTTCTTATTTGCAGGATGGTACAGTCCACCTGAGGATGATGATAATTGCCTTGAAGAGCCTGATGAATGGAAAGAGGGTGCTGATATGTCAAGGTTTGAGCTGAAGGTTGGTCAAAAATTTCCATGCAGAGCAACATTTTAGGAGATGATCAGTTTCGACCCCGGCATTCAGATCTTCGCCCCGTACGCCGGCGAGCACATCCATTGTCCTCCGCCGGGCTGTATCGGAGTCTACCGCCACAGTGTCCGTCTCGGACGCCGATTTCCTTTGCCCGGCGTCTTGAGTGACGTTTTGAGCGACCTCGGCATCGGAATCAGCCAGCTCGTACCCACGGCCTTCGCGCGGTTGATGGGTCTGATCATCTTGTTCCGTAAGCAAGGCTAGGCCGACCCCACGAGCACTGACATTCGGGCTCTTCTGATTTTCAAGAAGTCCGGCAACACCGGCAATTACTACAGCTCCGTCGCTCCCGGAGTGGACAAGTCCCTGGTGAACAAAATCCCAGAATCGCTGCACGGCTACATGCCGGAGTGGTTCTAGGTCTCCGGCGCGTGGCAGGCGCCGGATGCAGCCCGGCCTCCGTACACCGGCTTCATATCCGGCAAGTGTGAGTATCATGTTATTCCTTACCATTTTCTAATTACGTGCTTTTCTCCTGTGCTAACAGGTCGGTATTTCCATTTCAGTCCACAATCCTCACTTCGACGCCAGCGACGACCTAGCGGAGAAGATCGGCACTTTGTTGGCGCTTGACGAGGATGAGCGTTTCTATCGCGGCTTGGTCTCGGAAGAGAGCTTGATCACCTACGGCCTTTGCTCCGACTTCAAGACAGGCTACTCCATCCCAGATTCCCAGGTAATTTCTATCTCATACCGGGTTATTGCTTGGCCCATTGAGTTCGGCGCCCGACTCTGTGATCGTTTGACAGTTTATTATCCTCTTCACCGAGAGTGCGGACTCCGTTCCGTGAAAGAAGCTAACAAACCCGCTCACGCCAACCCGCACCCGTTAAAAGAGAGAAAAAAGATGGCCAGCAGG